CAGTTTTAGCCAAAAAAAACTTAATATAGATAATAACTTTCAAATACATTTTTCAAAAATGGCAGGCAGTTCAGAAGACAGTTACTCAAGCTCAGTGACAATCAAAACAGATTACAGTTGGCTACTGGGAAGCCAAATCATCGCAACATGGGAATTAGGTTTTCACATGATGCTATTGCATTATTTTTAGGTTAAATTACTAGAACCTTTATCCAAACTTTCCATTTAGAATTAAAGGAAGTCAATCTGACATTTGTTTCAGCTCTTCCTTTCAACCAAACTCAGACCATTTCAGCTGAAGTCTCAGACTTGGGATCCTTGGCACAGTGTCCCCTTCACTTCCTCTATGTAAGATCCCAGCTTATGATGTATGGAGGCATTCCTTTTTCCACATATTGTTATCTAAATATTTGATCTCCTGTTAGTAAACATCATGTCAAGCAGCTGAGAAATAATCCTCCTACGCTTGAATTCTAACAAGTTCACCGGCGATTTGTCTTGGTGTTCTTTCTGTTGCCATGATAAGGTATTGTAACAAAAGCAATTTATGGGAGAAAGGGTTTGTTTTAGTTCACACAACCATGTTAAAGTCTATATTAGTTACTTTTCTTTTGCTGCGATGGAACACTCTGACCAAAAGCAACTTAAGGAAGGAAGGGTTTATTTGAGCTTACGGTTTCAGGGGTGCCAAGTCCAACACAGCAGGGACTGCATGTCATGGAGGCAAGAGCTCAAAGCTGGTTGTTATAGCCATAGAACTTTGCTGTAATTGGAGTGGAGTTCAGGTCTATCCCACACAATGCACAGAAATACAACTATTCCGATTTTTCCCCTAATGCAAGAAATTCAAACACAATCTGTCATGATATTTTTAAGAAGTGTCTGGAATGTTTTTTTTTTCCCTTTTGTACTTCATATTACACTTCTTATGAAACCTGAATTTGTTAACCTGAGTTACACCTCCCCTTAGTCTCCCTTTCTTCCATATGCTCAGCCACATGGTTCTGCTTTTGGTGAATTTCATTAGTCAGTTTTTCTAAACTTTTCTAAACCTAAGTGCTAGCTCCTCCCATGGCCTGGGCCTTCTCTCACACGGCTTTAACTTGGTTGATGTCCTCCTGCTATTTCAGTCTCAGGTAAAGCTCCAGGCACAAGAAGATCTGATCTCCACCTCGTCTCATGCCATCCTATCTCAGTTACTTTCCTATTGCTGTGAGGATATACCATGACCAAGGCAACCTTATTGAAGAGTTTACTGTGGTTTACAGTTTCAGCGTATGACTCCATGACCATTCTTTTGAGAGGGCATTGTAGCAAGTAGGCATACTGCTGGAGCACTAGCTGACAGACTGTATCTCTGTCAGCAAGTAGAAGGCAGAGAGAGATAAATAGGAATTGGGTTGACTTTTGAAACCCCAAATCCCACCCCCCAATGACCCAATGACCCACCTCCAACAAGGCCACACCTTCAAATGCTTTCTGAACAGTTTTACCAACTGAGGACCAAACATTCAAACACACAAGTCAATGGGTGGAGGTATCCTCATTCAAACCACCACACATTCCATTACTGTCTTAATTATGTACACCCAAATGTGGAACAGGTAAGCCCATCTACCAAATCCTAATTGGCTTGGTTTTGTAAACAAAGTTTCATTATTATGCAGTCATGCCTATTTAGTCTTCTACTGCCTTCAGGCTCTTCCTGTGAGATGAATCATAGCATCAGAGACCTTGTGATCTCCAAATCAAAAATATATGCTCCCTGACCCTTCATAGAAGGATATTGTCTGTATCATTAGCCATTGTTCTGGCCCTTTTCAATTAGAAATTAAGCTCCATAGAAACAGAAACTGTCTCCTATCTCTTATGTACACTGCTCTAACCAATTGTAGTCCAGCAAGCACAGAAATATTTGTTCTTCACAGTATAAAATCAAGTCACTGACACCTGTTGAGCCCTACTCTAAGTAGTCAAGATGACACCTTTAACATGGCTTCCTCCATCTGAGTGAAAGAGTGTCCTCACAGACAAGACGCAGCAAAAAGAGTTAGATTCCTGTTGGAGCCTTTTATAAAGGGGCAGCATTAGCGTGTTCATGAAAGGGGATCCATAAAATGCTCAACCCTCTAATACTATTATATTAAGGATTGTTTCTGACACATGAATGGGGTGGGGGTAGGGGTAGGCATGGGGGGGGTAGATCATAGAACTATTAAGTCATTCTTAAAAGAGCCTGGTACAATAGTAATAGCCCTTCAAATATTTATGTCATGAAATGATAAAGTATTTGGGAAAAAAAACCTTGTTCAGACTTTTAATTATGCTTCATTGTGGGAAAATCACGGCAGCAGAACACAGACACAGTTGGTCATATTGCATCCATATATACTTAAGAAGCAGGTATAAACTAACGCATGCATTCCTGAACTCAGCTTACCGTCTTCACTCTCATACGATATTGATCACCTGACTAAGGAATGGTACCATCCATAGTAAGATCCTCCCATCTCAACTGATATAAACAAGACAATTCCTCAAGGACATGCCCACAGACCAGCCTAGTCTGGACTGTGCAGACCAGGTGACTAGTTCAATGCAATTCTGGGGCAGGTGTCCTCTGTCATGCGGCTGCAGCAACCTCCCACCAAAGGGAACAGAGACAATTTCCCAACCCTTTACTTGATCTAGCTATGTAACAGCTTTCTACAAATGAATCCGATATAAGCAAGTATGTGCCGGCTCCACATCTAAGGTCCTGAGTTACCATCGTAACCACTAGAAGACACATCACAGCAGCCTTCTAGCTCTGCAAGCAGAACCAACCTCATCAGCCAAACCCAGTGACTTCAGCTGAATCTCAGATGAGTGAGCTAAATAAATGTTTCTGGGTGAATACCAATCAGTCCTAAGTTGGTATATTACACGTCAGTTGTGGCAGTTAGATACATGACGTGGTGAACGCAGACAGCTGACATTTGTCTGTCTACAAATGAGTGTCCCCCTCTAGTAAGTGGAGATGACAGTTATTACTGTTCTCACTCCTGCATCACAGCAGGTGTGAAAGCCACTTTGGGAAGGATGGCACGCCGGGTACATGGGAGCTGCGGTTTGCTATTCTTTAGAGGATGCCACTGGTGCATCTGTTGGAGAGAAGGAAATGGATTCTAATCAGAGAGTGTGCTGGGGGCTGGGGGCTGAGCGATCCATTAATGGCCAGGGCAGTTAATGAGTTTGTGGTTCTGTCCTGAGCCACAGTCAGCCTGAGGTCACTCATTCCTGAGAGGGTCCCAGAAGAGGGGTCTCGGGAACCGGCCCAGAGCAGTTCACTTGGAGAGGGAACAATGAGGGTGGGGAAGAAAGGCCGTAACGTGGAAAAGGGGGGATTTCCAGAGACCCTGCCTTGCTTGTCACACTCAACACTTAACTAATTGAACTGAGAGGCAAATCAGAGAGGCTTCAGCCTGTGATAAATTAATCGAGGAGGGCTGCGGTAAACTGTCCACTCACATCATCAATTAGACATCCTGAAAAGGCAAGGAGACGGCTTTTTTTTTTTAAGTGTTGACTCTGCAGCTTCATTTCTCTCTTCCTCTCTTTAATATTAGGGGTATTTTTTTTAATTGATAAAAGATGATTTTGGTCAGATGTCAGTAGGTGGGGCACCAGATAGAAATGTAAGGCAGGAGGCATTTGTCCCAGAAAATCTATGCTGAGCTCAAAAGTAATTCAAGGATCCAATCAACATCCACGTGTGCCGAAGTCCCGGAGAACTGAGAGACTTTAACGCAGAATGTCAGGTAAGAGGGTAAATTCCATTTCGCCATCTTTGACAGTCATTGAGAATTGGTTCTTTAAAAGGCAGTTGATGACTAGAAAAAGGTCCAGGGTGCTAGACTTTCATAGAAACCCCAGTTTCATCGCCGTCCTCTCCGTCCTCCTACCCTCCCGCCCGTGCTGTTCTGGAGACGGTCCCAATGCCTTTTGTAGCTGCCCAGGGAACCATAGGGGGTGGTTAATCAACTTGACAGAATATAGAATTGCCTAGAAGACTAACCAGTGGGTATGTCTATGAGGAAGTTTCTAGATTAGGTTATACAAACACACACACATGCACACCATACAGACACAGACAGACAGACACACACACACACACATACACACACACACACACACACACAGAGACGTATATATGAAACAATAGACTAAGTACCAGCATTCCTTAAACTGTAAGCCAAAATAAACTCTACTACTTGACAGCAATAAGAAAGGCAACTAATCCAGTTAGAGACCCTCCACAAAGAAACAGCATTTTTTTTTCTTTTACAAGTAAAGGGATTAAAAGAGAAAACCAAGGGTGCAGAGCTAGTAGGCAAGCTGCTTGCTGCCTGGAATCTTTGCTGGTCCCTTGGCCCTGTCCAGAGCCAGAATGGAGCCACCACTTAGCACAGCCCCAGGCAGTGTTACAGGGCAGCCGGAGTCAAGGAGAAGCGCTCTTCCCAGCTTTCAACTGAGCTCCCAGGCCAGCCATTAAATATGGCAGGCTTAGCATTTCTCACTTCAAACGCGGCTGGGAGGTCCCGGGAGCCCCCGCCCACCCCCCTCCTGCCCTCCTTCACTCATGCTGTTCCGCTGCTGAATGAGACAAGTTCAGCAGTTTCCAGCCTTTTGACAGCGTCCTATTTACCTGGCAGAAAATGAAAGTGGAATTTGGAGAAGCTTGGGGCGGCAATGCAGACAGGTGGAGAGGGCTTGCTTTCCACCTGTCTACTTCATTCTAGGAGGTACCCAGAGCACCTGGTCAAGTGGGGTCCTGAGGGCAGTTTCACCAGGGGACTGCTATAACACAAGGTTAGTGTGGTCCAGTCCAGGGAGAGTGTGTGGCCCACCCCTGGTTGCTGGTACTCCTCCTGTTATCCTCAACCAGGGTTCCAGATTCCAGAAGCCTGCCCCAGTTCCTGCTTCCCAAGGTTGTATCACATACCCCATCCTGTACTCACGCCAAGGAACAGGTCTGTTGCTAGCACAGCATCGGACTGAGCATCACTGTCAGGGGCTGCATTCTTTCAGACCAGTCCTCTGTGGGAGACTCTGCACAATACACAGCAGAGGTTCCCGTCAGGCTCGTCCCTACCCCACATGATGAATGTGATGTCACGCAGCAAGGAGCGCGCCATTGTTACGTGGGGTATAGCAACAGACTCAGAGTTTGACACCCTGAGTAACCCTGACCAAGCTTCCTAAGTTCCCTGACCTTCACCTATTGCTGATTGCTGATGGAAGTATGCTGTTGTAACGTGGAATGTAGGGAGTGGTTGTTTAAGGAGTGGTAGGGGTTGGTGATGAGCCTGGCTCACATCAGCTGCTCAGACTGATCTCAAACTTTTGATCCTCTTGCCTCTACCTCCCATGTCCTGGAATTACAGGTATTCGACATCATGCCCAGCTCAGTACTCAGCGAATTCTTTCCATAGTAGAACCATTGCTGCTATGCCATTTTATCATGCTCCCTAGTAGAGAGTTAGACATTTAATCACAAGCACAACTGGCATCAACTGATTTGGGAACCCACTCACCCGACTCACTAAGCAGAATAAGCTACTTAAAGGAAAACAAACAATCGTGTTTGCTTGAAAGGAGGGCATTCACGACAGAGCAGTGTGTCCAGGGTGCAGGGGCTTCACAAAACAGTTGGGTCCCATCCCCCACAGGGTCACTGAGTTATTTGTAAGCTGATAACCACAGGTGCATCCTGTTTTCTAGTCCTGGCTTACTGCCCCTGCAGTGCCCCACTGACATCAACGTCTAGCATGAGGAAAACACGATGTCTTTCACCTGGGGTTTTTCCACTGTGCTGTAAGCCTGTATATAAGCCTGCTCCCTCTCTACGAGAGAGAGAGAGAAACCTCTTAGCACTTGCAATAAAGACACACACACACACACACACACACACACACACATATTCTCCTGGCAATAAAGGCAGCAGACACATTCTCTTAGCACAAACAGTTGGATGCCTTGTCTTTCATTTCCCGATACCTCATATTTGTTCGTGGCACAGATGCCACATAAAATGACTTCTTTTCTGGGTGTCCCAGAACCTGCACACAGCCAGGCTTGTGCCTGGCTCTAGGACTCACCACCTAGCGATCCTCATCATCACCGACTTTATCATCAGTTACTCATTGTTCCTGGAGTTATGCGCATTCTCGTTCATAGTGCTGATGACACTTCTCTTTAATATGATGTCTATTACATTAAGGAGTTTATCTCACCACTGTGACTAAGCACCTAGTAAGGGTATTGAGGTTTCTTTTGGCTCATGGTTCAGACGAGATGGTCCATCATGATGGTTACAGAATGGCAGTGGAAGCCATGGAAAATCATTGTAAATCTCTTCAGCCAGACTGGGCCGTGGTGAGTGAGAACCAGGAATCATTTAAAGTCCTGTCCTCGGCGACCTATGTCTTCTAGCTGACCCTGTCTCCTTAAGGTTTCACAGCATCTCCTGGCTGTGCCATCACCGGGAACCAAGTGTCAAGCATGCTAGTGAGTGAGGTGGGTGGGTCATTCTTACCTCAAACCCTAACAAACAGGAAAATGCCAAAAACACCCTTGAAAAAGGTGTGAGCCATTTTAGTGTTTATTTTTAGCAACATTAACAAAAAATAAGGGAGGAAACACTAGCTAGAGAGGTGTAAAGTGCTCATCACAAAAACAATGAGGACCTGTGTTCCATCCCCAGCAGCCAAGTAAAAGCCATTCTGTATTACTGCCATAGGGCTGTAATCCCAGTGCCGTGGGAGACAGGAGATCATGAGGCTCACTGCCAGCAATACACCTGAGTCTGCAACCACCATTTTCAGTGAGACCCCACCTTAAACACATGGTGGAAAGCAATAATGATGTTGAAAATGATACTCAACATCAACCTCTGGCCTTCATACACAGACACACACTCTCTCTCTCTCTCTCTCTCTCTCTCTCTCTCTCTCTCTCTCTCTCTCTCTCTCTCTCTCTCTCTCTCTCCCCACAGAAAGAGAAAATTCCAAAGCAACACAATACAATGTGATTGAGGCTTTTCATGAAAATGAAGCCTGAGTTAGAAGTTCCCACCTGAGATCCTAGGTTTAACCCTTACCCTGACCCTCCCACTCAAAGAAAGAAGCCCTCATCAAACACACGCGCGCGCGTGCGCGCGCGCACACACACACACACACACACACACACACACACACACACACACACACACACCACTCCATCTGTGGGATTATTCATTACCCAGTTCCGTGACTGTCTTAGGAGCCCATCCTTGCTTTAATATTAAACACAGCAAGCCCAGATACAAGTTGTTCCCCTTTCACGAAATCAAATTAAATTTTCATGAAGGCTCTTGAGTTCCTCTGTGTGGTTTTCCCTTCAGCTTCTCCACACAAGCCAATAAAGTCTCAATTAGATTAACCCCTTCCTGACTCTGAGTGGGCACACTCATCTGAGAGATGGGGGTGCCTGTAAACATGCCCCCTGTTGACTCTCGGCAAGCAACTAGCTGGAGGAAATATTTACAGATCTAGTGCTCCTTGCCTCCTCCCCAAGTGCCTTTGCTAACAACCTCCCTGGTGCTAAGAGCCCTAGCTTCCTTCAATTGCCTTCCTCTGACCAAACCGACCTCCTTTCTCACAGAACTCTTTGGGGAGCAAATTAGGTTGTTATAGATTCCAAACATATGCTCTAAATTCTCCCCTTGGTTTCTAACATGCGGCCTTTTCTTTCCTCTCTGAAATATGAGAGATGTCTTTATTACCTGTAATGTGTCTGGCTTCCCATCCCCTCTTGTGGTCCCAGTAACCACAAGCAGATGAGAAAGAGAAGACCATCAAGTCTGTGTTCTCAAAACCACAAAAACTACTGTGACACGAAGTCACTCAGGAAGTGTGGAGTGTGCCTGTGTGTCAAACATGGGCCAAGATGGACAGACAACTAACTCGATAAGTCTAAGAGACTGTATTTTCAACGAGGGGCAGCTGATCATAAGTATTTCCTAGAAACAGGTCTATGAGGTACTTGGGTTAATGGGAGGTATCACAGAATATCAGAGAGCCAAAGGATAGTGAGAGACTAATTACAGCCACATGGACAGAGCAATCTTTCTCCACAGCTCTTCCTGGAGGTGGCAGATGCCACTGCTCCCCAGTTCCTTCATTGGATAAAGGGGTGCAGCTGCCAATTGGGAATGGACAGGCTATAGGGGTGGTGATTGAAGAATGTGTACTCTTGACAGTTAGAAAGAATTGTCTGCAAACAGCAGAAAACAAACAAACAAAAGAAAAGAGAAAAAAACAGACCTATGGTGAGACCATTTAAACAAGTTAGCCATTCTGGAATGTGAGACAGACAGAATCAACAGGAAGACAAACTTCCAATGTAGAAGCAGAGCAACTGAAAAAGAGGATTCTGGGAGGATCTGGGTAGAAACATAGTGCTCATGCTTGTTCATGAGTGCTTCCAGTTTGTTCGAGAGAAGGAGCTATAGTAAAACGTGTGTGTGTGTGTGTGTGTGTGTGTGTGTGTGTGTGTGTATGATGTGGGGAGGTACATGTGCCAAGGTACGCACGTAGAGGTCACAGGACAATTCTGTGGAGACTGTTGCCTCTTCCTGCCTTTACATGGGTTTCAAAATTGAAGTCAGATGGCTGGGCTTTCATGGCAAGGGACCTTACCTCCAGAGACAACTCACCACATTCCTTTATAGAGATTAAAACCATATATGTATATAGAAATACAGACACATACATATGACAAGAATGCAGGAGTGAAACTAGGAGGAAGGAGGGAGAGACCCAAGGAGGGTAGAAAGAGAGAGGAACTGAAAAGAGGGAGTGGGGGGTATGATCAACATGATACACTATAAATAACTTTTCCAGATAAAACCTGACATTATGTATGAACAATACTTCAAAGGCAGGGTAAATGTAAACTGTTTAGAAAGAGTTTGCCTCACCTTCCCATGGATAATATGATCACACACATGTGTACATGTGCGTGCACACACACACACCAAACACAAAATGTTTGCCCCACACAAAGATAAAGAATGCAGTAACAACCAGGTTTGCTTGTATATGACAGGGGCACAGTACCTTGGGTGTCCTCCCACAGTGAGAATCTAGGATTCACTTTCTAGCTATAACTTCTGATCATCCAGAAAGGATTGAGTTTGCTGGGTTCAGTACACACCTTTGCCTCAGCTACCAGAAAACTTAGCTAAATTTGGAGAAATTGTGAGATGGGGCTTTGCTTTCTGTCTGTCTTAGACTTGTAGGACAGTAGTGTCTTGGGAGGCAGAGACTGTCTTAAGGAGGATGTGGTTCTCATTCTGTTCTGCAGTAAATTCTTCTCTAAAGCGTTTCTCCTGTGTGGACCACGGCACCACAGGCTAGCGTTCATGATGCAAGATGCTTCAGTATTGTGAAACAGATGAACATGTTGTAAATGAATTGAGAACTTAGGAGGAAAGAAGAAAGGGATGGAGGGAGTGAGCAGGGAAGGAGGAGCTCGCTTCATAAAGCAACTCTTTCATCTAATTCTTCCTACAGGAAATCAGAGGATGCAGTGAACATAGCGAGGCCTGATTTTATTCTAGTATGTATACCCATTTTTAGTACCAAATATATCCATTGAGTAGGTAAATTCAAATTCATGGGGAAGGTTTGGAGAAATCTAGGAACATGGTGTGGCAACAATGGCAACAGGTATAAGGGGAAGAGAAGAAAGAAGAAAGAGATGAGAGAGAAAAAAGAGTGGGGGAGAGACACCTGTCTCCCTCCTCATAGAAATGTCAGAAAGAGAGAAGGGGAAGAGGGCGGAGTTTGCCTCTTAAAGGGACCTTTGCACCTATGTGCAGACTATGCAGTGACATTGCAGTCATAGGACCCTGGGCTGGCCAAGGTACTGCCTGAGTGTATCTTGCCAGATGACAGAGAGGAGGCTAGCATGATGACTAAATCCTAACATACGGGCTGCAAAGGTAAAGGTAAAGTACTTCTCTTTTTATTATTCCTTTTATTTTGGAAATTTTAATATAATTACATCATTTCCTCTTCTTTTCCTCCCTCCAAACCCTCCCAAATTCTCTCTCCTGCTTTCTTTCTAATTCATCCAATTCATGACCTCTTTTTTTATCAGTTCTCTCTCTCTCTAACGCGTGCATGTGTGTGTGTGTGTGTGTGTGTGTGTG